ACCAATGAGTATTAGCGATGGGGCAATCCGTCGCCAATGTACATATTTACGTTAAAAAAAAATTAATTTTCTAGTAACCTCCCACAAGAGAATATATACATATATAGCCTGTATCGACATCAATCCAATGATAATATTTGACAATGTATCATAAAATCAACCATTATATACATTTACATTCCAAATGAATACTCATACATCGTCATCCATCAATCCACAATATCGAACAATACTCATCATTTAATCACAATCACAACACATCTCGCATGCTCAAACAATATTCATTCAGTACGCAATAAAATCACAAATATATTACATATAGGTAAAATTCACAACATGTCTTAACACAATCTAAAACTACATAAATATAAGAACAAGTCTCACTCACTCCTCATCATCATCGTTGTCGGCATCCCTGTTATCAGAGTCGTCTGCATTAGAAAGTTTTGTAGTAGGTGTTAAGTTACAAGGCATAGCATGAAAACCTATACTAGTGAACAATTAACCAAAAAGGGTCGTCGCATTGATAAACATAATTGACAGATAGCACATAGAATGATACTAGAAAGCACAAGGAACGAGTTTTCGTGCATCCAGAAGAATGCAACTATCAGTTAACTATATCTATGAAAAGAGGCAATGACAAGGCATACGAAAAGTTCCAAACTAATGTATGCAACTGATGTGACCATAATATTGGTCAGAATAGTCTAGTCTGTTAACCATAATACACTACAACAAAATACAACATTGCCGACGAAACAAAAACGTCGGCAAAAGTTTAAAAAACGTCGGGAAAAATCTTTCCTGACGCAAAATGCAGCGTCGCTAACGCGTCGCCAAAAGTGCGTCAAGGAAAGTATTTGGCGACGCAAATATACTGCGTCGCCCAAAGTACACTTTTGGCGACGCGTCATACGTCGGGAAAAGTATATCTTTTAGCGACGCATAATATTGTACGTTGGCAAAAGTGTACTTTTGGTGAAGCATGCAGCGTCGACAAAAGCTATACGTCATCAAAAGTATAGCTTTTAGCGACGCAAAATTGTTCGTCGCTAAAAACTATACTTTTGGCGACGCAAGTTAGCGTCGGCAAAAGTGCAGCTTTTAGCGACGCAGAGTGAAGCGTCGCTAAAAATAGCGTCGCTAAAAGCTATACTTTTGCCGACGCAAGATAGCGTCGGCAAAAGTATAATTTTTGGCAAGATTATGCGTCGATAAAAAGTATAATTTTGTCGACACTAATTTGCATCGCCAAAAATAATATCTTTTCTGTCAACTACAAACCTACACTAAACCTGAACATCCATAAAAAAATTGCTCCCATTCACATCAACAAAGAAACCAAACATCAAATTATACTCCAAACAAGTTGCATATTATGATAAACAAAGAATTTGCTCCCATTGCAAAATAATTACATTCATTTTTATTTCCAAGTCAACACTCAAAAGGCCTGTTTAAATATTCCAGTTTGCCATATTTAGTGTTTTCCATTTTAGAGAATGACACATTATAAGATTTACAGGAAACTAAACTAAGTTGAAAAAAAGAAAACTTGAAGTGAAAGAACGGCACGATCAGTGAACCTCTTCACATATGAAGGTATATTCTCTGGTAGAGTTTTTGCGACTCTGTCTAACTCCTGCATTTGTTGCTTTGCAGTCACTCTATCAGGGCCACAGTACATATTCATAAGCTCTTTCATGTGTGGTAGTCTTTCCATCAGTTCTTTGATTATTTCCTGTTAGAGAATATAGCTCAAACAAATACTACTATATATTTTCTAGGAAATGTACTATAATAATAATTATTTTTTGTTATACAGCAAGGAGGGTGCTCTTAAGTGCATCAGCTATAGACATGGATTCTCTGGCTTTGCGGCAACTCTCACAGAATCTCAAGCAAAAAGAGTTGCAGGTACAAAATTGTACATATAAATCATCCTATTAATAGGTTTCCCAGCCAAGTTTAAATAAGGAACTCTTACTGTCTTGCATGTCTTGAATAGGCTTCCTTATCCAAGTTAATGTTGTTGCCACAAAAAGAAAGGAGGGTAAATTGATATTTTTAAACGTTAGGGGGATTTTCAGTAATTTACCCCCAAAACACATAGATAACAAAAGAAGGTACAGAATAGCCTAAAGATAAAATTAAAAAAAAGGATGAATAAACATTAGAAATATGAAAACCACATGTACGATGTTCAGAATGAAATTTAACAGAGTAGGAATTGCTCTGTTGATATGCACACACACAATGCATTTTGAGGACCCGCCTAAGGGGGGAAAGGGAAAACACAATCCAAGGTGCCACATGCATTAAGTATATTTCTTCCTACTCAATACATGAATAGGCATGCCCTCCCTTGTCATGACCCATGAGGTTCGTGTTTATGACAGTAACATGAACAACAATGAGAAAAGCCTAAAAGTCGGACAAAAGCAAGCAATTAAACTTCTGTTGAATTAAACTTCTGTTGTGTAGTTGCAATGGAAAGAAATTGTAACGACAAGTGAAATTGTTCCTTGGAGAGTGATATTGTAAAAGTAAAGGGCAGTAACTCTCTCGTGCCTTAATTTGGTTGCAGCCTGCAGGTGACTCCAACCCAATTGCAGAAGGAGGTGTTAGTAGTCCAGTTTGAAGAGAGAA